GTGGTAAAGTCGTCTTTTTTCCAGTTGCTCAAGAGAAAAGGCCTTTAAAACTACTTGGTTATACCCTTGGTTCATTAAGGTATGATTCATGTCATGTCCTTTATTACTTTCCTTTGTCAAGATGTACCAAAAGCTTTGGAGGTGGCCTAGAAAACAATACCTGTGGCCAACTTATAAGATTGCCCTTTCTTGGGACCATCCCTGACTTCACTAATAATGCGATCTACTGAAGGCGATTGCACTTTCGAGCTACATTGTTACCAAAACACCCTTCCCAAAGGAATTCTGTGTTTTTAAACTGGTAAAATGATTTGCTTAAATAACTCTAAGGAAAAGAATGGTACTGTTTATAAAGTAATTGGGCACTCTCTCACCTTACAAAGCTCCAGTATGTCATGAAGTTCATACAGTAAACGCCAAAACAGAGGCTGGCTTCTGCCTCTAAGACACACTAACTGAAGAGTTATTGGATATAATAGACTTAGAGTAAGATGCTAATCCCTAACACCTCATTTATCACAAGATCACTGTTCTTCAGCCTCACCTATACAAAACAGACAAGAAGCCAGAAGATTTTTTTTAAAGGCTTCAAACAGGAAGATAGATGACACAATTTCTTGATTTACATCCAGTGTTAGCAAAGCTCTGTTATCAGATTTCCTAGTGCACAACTAAGAAGTGGTGACTGGAAAAAGGGAGGGGAGTGAACAGGAAGGAGAAAGAGCTGACAGTCTAGGAGTACGAGAAGAGACAGGAAGACTAAAACACAGACTCATGAAAACAAAAATCTGAGGCCATTTAAAATAAAAATCCTATTTAAAAAAAATTAAAAAACGTTAGAGTTAGCCCAGGTTCTTCTCTCCTTCACTTCCCTAATTCAACTAGTTACCAAGCCATTAATTCTGCCTCCTAAATAACTCCAGTTTGTCCCTTTCTCTCAATTGCCACTGCCTGAGTTCAGATTCCCTTCATCTGTTACCTGGACTACTACCGTAGCATCATATCTAGTCTGTCTTCCTCCAGCCTTGTCACTCTCCCTAAAAATCTACAATGGCACTGATTGCTCACTAGGCAAAGCCTAAATTTATGGGCATGGGAAAGGCCCTGTCTTCCTCTCTAGTCTCCTGTCATGCCAGTCATTCCCACAGACACCCATACTGAACTCCTTGCAGTTCTCTAAACACCCCATTGTTTCTCTCAGGGCTCTGTGCCTTTGAATTGCCTGAAATGGCCCTTCCCAATGCACTCACACCTCCCCACCACCCCACCAACATATATACCCATTCTACTCCACAGGCCCAGTCAACTCACCTGATTGACCCCGCTCATTCTGCAAGACTTCTCTCACGAGTTCCTGCTTCTTCATCATCTTTTTTTTTTTAATATTTTATTGTGTTTTTGGTGAAAGTTTGCACAGCAAAACAGGTTCCCACTCAACACTTTCTACACCAGGGGTTGCTTCTTAACCTGAGCAGTCCCTTACCCCCAGCTTCCCTCATACTTTGCAAACACTTTCATTAGAGCATTTTCACACTGTATTTAATAGAATTCCACTGTGAATTCCTTGAGCCCATGTCCTTTTTATCTCTGTATATCTCATCACTTAATAAATGTTTATGAATGAATAAAATGATTAATGAATGAAATCTCTTTGTTTTTGATGACCTCTCGGGGGGAGGGAAAGGACAAAAAGGCTACAATAATCGATTTTTTTAAAATACAGTTCAGATAGAAGATAGAGGTCAAAGCAAAGGAAACTTAAGAAATATAAATTCTAGGTATAAAAATACAAAAGGGAACCCAGTAAAATCCTGTGGAAACAGAAAGTTAGTAAACTTATCATGCTGCAAGGCCTGCTTCTAGAACAGTTTCCTGGAAAGCGACTTAAGCTACACTCTAAGCAGTTTAAAAAAAAAATCAGCCCCAAATCGCTGAGGATGCCATCAAAAGCTATCCAGGAATGAAATATATAAATAACAATTTCCTAAAGGTTGCTTTCTGAGATAAATGTGTGATCCTTGGCTGCTATCTAAAACTTTGGACATTTGAGTCTATCCAGAGGTATCTGGAAGAAAGGACTGGTGATCTGCTTCCTGAAAAAGAAGCCACTGAAAACCCTATGGAGCGACCATCCAAGATAAAACAATTGGTATCTATTCACCTGGAACAACAGCGGGAGAAGGAGAGTCAGGAATACTAGGAGGAAATGGAATGTGTGGCTAATTGCCTACATGAACAACTGCCTTCTTTGCCATGAGACCAGAAGAACTGGACAGTGCCTGGCTACCATTACTGAACATTTTGATCAAAGATTCTATAGAAGAATCCTGATCAAAAAGGGGGAAAATACAGAACAGAATTTCAAATTCTCATGAATTCTGGACTTTCTGAAGCCATGGAGGCTGGATGAATTTCTGGAACTATTGCCCTGAGATAATCTTTAAACCTAAGCCAAAAATATCCCCTGAAGTCTTCTTAAAACCAAATAATAGTTTAGTGACAACAGCAACTTGAAAGATTAACTAGGAGGAACCTTAGGGGGCAGTGAGTTTATGTTAATAGAGAAGGAATAACTCAAAAAAGGAGGGTGAGAATGGTTGCACAAGTCGAAGAATCTAATCAATGTCACTGTATTGTACATGTCAAAATTGTTGAATTGGTGTGTGTTCTGCTGTGTGTATTCTCAATAGTAACAACAAAAATAAAATAAATTATGAAAAAAAGAAAGAAAACCCTGTGGAATACAGTTCTACTGTGACACACATGGAGTCACCATAAGTGTGAGTCAACTTGACGGCAACTGGTTGGTTGGATTGGTTGGGCCTGCTTAGACGGTTAGAACCCTTTCTTCAGCCTGTGTAATATGAAGAAAAGCCCCATGATTTTCAAAATGCCACGTACATTACTACTTTCAGGTTGGTGAGGAAGGGAATTGGTTCATTATAGCAGGTTGGTGAGGAAGGGAATTGGTTCATTATAGCATCTCAATACTAAGTGCTGTTTGCCAAGAACTGTTTTGTTTGTTTCATGCCATCTGCTCTGTTTTTGCTCTCCCAATGTAACTTTTAAGACCCTTTATTTTATGATAATTGTATCATAAGATACAGAATAACTCCTGGGACTTCCTCAAGACTTGTATTGTATTTTTATTAAACTTAACCAAGTAAGTGATGCTGGATTATTGTGCAGTCTGTCGACCTATAAACCAGTTTATGTTCTAAAGATATTCCCTAAAGGTAATGATTCTATAGCTATTTCATGATTATATAACTCTTTTGGTATGAGTCAAAGCTGTCTACTTCAGTGTGTCCAAACAGAGTAAAGCAAGGTATCCCCTTTTATTCCCCTGGGGACATAGACTAAGGCAAAGACATCACAGAGTTTCTGATTGCAGATTTTGGGTTCTGCTTCTGGAACTCCAGGAAATGCTTTCAATTTACAGGCTCTGAACATCATTAAAAATCCAGAAGCAACTGGATTCCTAATGATTTTTCATAAAAGACATAGAAAGGATTATGGCCTACTTTTCAAAATCAGCATAACATTTTGTACTCAAAGTCACTTGGCAGTGACCGCAGTCACAAGAACGTACCCAGTTGGAATGAAACCTAGATTATCCATTGCAGCCTTATATGGATATTTTGTCCAATAACAGTAGTTTGAATTCTGATATACCGTATTTCATTAATTGTAATATGTCCTTTTTTTTTTTTTTTTACATTTTAACATCTCTTAAATTGGGATTTATCTTATAATCAATGGCTTGTCACATTTAATTAGCTTTTTTTTTTCTTAATGAAACATGTAATGGTATGTCTTACATTCAGTGGCATCTTAAGTTTGAAGAAATAAGATATAAATAGATCAATAGATAAAAATCATTTACTTGGTTTCTAAAACTTATTTAATAAATAAATAATTAACAGTGGTAAAAATGACAATCTTAGCTGTGAATTTCATTTATTTGGTAATAACTGTTTTGGCAGATATATATGTTGGAACCAAATCATCACTTTGTGATTTTCACTCTTGTTTTACCGTCTTTTGCAGGAGGAAATCATATAGATAAGTTATCTCAAGTAAATATAATTTGATATAGATCAGTGACTTTTTTATGCCTCTCCCTTTTATTTCTTGAATACATTTTCAACCAGTATTTGCTTAGAAATTTTAAATTGTTACTGATAATATTCAGGATTTTTTCTTTAATATTTAGTGATTGAGGTTTAGATTCATTGCTTCTCTGTTCTACCAATATTTTTTTTCATCTGAGTTATGCTAGAATGCCTGTCTATCCTATATGTAAAAGTCTATAGATATATTAACATTTGAATCTTTTCTTCTTTGGGAGTTTATTTCTGTCCCGGTGACAAGTCCAGTAAAACCTTTATGAGCTGGAATGATTAGTGAATACTTAACTATATTCAAACAAGTTTTCTGATTAACTGATGCTTCTGCGGTTTCTAAAATACATTCCCTTTGTCAACATAGTAAGTACAAAATTGCTTTGAACAGAAGTGGGCCCTTTTTGATGATTAGTTGTGACCAGTCAGTAAGTACCATCTTTCGCATCTGTGACCCTAACTGTGGCCACAGAGGATGGGTCATTTGACAGAATCTTACAGGACCCAAGACATACTCTGTATTGCTTCTTTTCCTTCTTCATGTCATGGTACACAGAAAATCCCAGTATTTGTATACCACATAGATGAAGCTCCTTGTAGCCTGAGGGGACCAGTTGGAAAACTCCTCTGAAGAAATTGTTTTCAAAAGTAAATTACAGAATAATGGTTTGATTTATCGCTGTTTCTAAAACAAAGAGAAACTAAAGCTCAAAAAACATTTTTTACTTGTCAGTTCTATTCAACCAAGGCTTTTCTAAATGCAACCATATTGCCTCCTCTATACTAACTATGGCTTATGTATCAGTATTGGTGTTTTGCTATGAAACAATCTCCTCATCCGTGTATTTCCTCTCTCTCCACTTTACTCTTTTTCAGGTCCATACATTCAGAGGGCCGCACTGGTGTGAATACTGTGCCAACTTCATGTGGGGTCTCATTGCTCAGGGAGTGAAATGTGCAGGTAAGAGCTCCTCCCTTATCTCATCATTAAGTGGAGGTTTGTGGGTCATGCACATGTGCTGGGCTGGATCCGGGTTTGCTGTTATGCACCTGCAGTTGACTAGATTCTCAGACTTCCATTTTAGAAATCAGTGCAATTTCGTCTGCCCTTAAGGCGCTCTTGCCCTTGATGGAAACAGACTAGGGACCTGATATTAGCCCATTATAAAGAGAGGTCAGCTTGTTCAGAAAATCTGATAAAAATAAGGCAGTTATATTTAACACTTGCCTGTGATGTTGCAGTAACTAAATTTATAAAAAGGGTTTAAAAAAATGAAAAACAGTGTACAGGAATCTCTGATTGTTGCCTTGGAAACTGAAGTTTAAAGATAACTTGTTAAGCTGAATTGTCCTTACTAAATTTTTGTGAAATCAAATTGAAGCTTTAAAAATCTGAGTTTATCTTCAAAGATGTCGACTAAATTCTGAAAAACTAGTTAGTCACTGTTTTCTTTGTGACATTTTGAAATCTTGAATATACCATATCCTTTTATAAAGCATGACTTTGGTAAAACTTTAAGATTTATACATAAATAAATAACTAATTCAAAACAAACTATGGTACATACACACAATGGAGTACTATGCAATGAGAAAGAACAACAATGAATCTGTGAACCATCTCA